GCAAATTTGGTGTCACAGTCAGAGGGGGATGCCAAAGGTCTCTTTAAACAAAATATTTTCCTTTGATTGAGCTTTTTGTTTTTCAAACAGAATCATTCTCCAACCCCCTGCAGATCCCTACAGGGCTCAGAGCTGACAGAAGTAGGAGGGGGTGGTGAAAGGGAGAGCTATATATTTGATTTGTTTGGGTTTTTTCACCTTGCAGAGGAAAATGAACTCCTACAGCAAACTCTTCTATGCCAAAACAGCCATGACACATCACCTCCATCAAAGCTGACAACTTGAAATTTGATGCAGACATAATTTTCACATGACAAGAAGGATTTCTTCTCCCTTATTTTATTCTTCTTCAAATTCTCATGCATGTCAACGTTTGTGCTTCACAGGCCCATGAACACTTACATACCACAGCAGAGATAAGTACCTGTACTGTTTTCTGCTAAACAACTAAAGACCTAAAATCTCCACCATTGCAACCCTTCTCAATCAGACATGATTTGGACACTGCAGTCTGCAAACAGACAACAGACTACGCTTCCCATTTCAAAATCTAATTTACTTTTAGCAGGACAAGGCAAGCTGATCGGTTGTTGCGAAACAAAGGGAAATGCTCAAACAAATGAACTGTGTCCTGCTAGAAGCAGGCACATTGTTTCAATTCCTCCAAGCCCAAATTTTGCAGGTCACGTGGAGCCTCAAGCTGCCGCCAAGGCCAAGTCTGCAATGTTTAAAATCCTGCTCTTCATCTCATTTTTCCTACCATGGCGTTGCACTGTTAAATGCACCCATGACCTCCGAGCAGCGTTAAATGAACAGTCATTTCCATTATCTCAATCAATAAGTCTTCGTAGCTGATTAAAATAAAAACAGTAAGTGGACCTACTGAAAACTGGTGCGGGCTATGTTGCAAGAGGGAACCTGTGGGGAAATGTGCAGCAACCCAGGAGCATCCTCACCAAGGAGGGGGAGCTACACACCAGCATGCATCACCAAACCTGTGTTAATAGTCCCAGTGTAAGCCACGCAAGCTGTTACCTTCAGATATCCAGTTTAAACACCTTAGCATCTATTTTGACCAGCTTGCTGGGTTGCACCTTGTGCTGTCTAAAATCAGGCTCCAACACACCTTAGAGTTGGCACAGATTTTGCCCGGCTGCCCTCCCATTTCTCTGTGCAATACAGACTGAATTGCCTCTATAGCAGCATAAGGAAACCCTACGTACAAGTCAGCAGAGTTGTCAAAACCAGAGGGCTGTAGAAATACACGTTTTGGTTACCTTTGCACAAGAGAGACATCTTATTGAGTTCAGCAGCAACATTTAAAAGGCTGAATTAAAACAGCCTTCACACTGGAGCCAGATCAGAGTTGCAAGGAATGAGGAACATCAGGTCCAGGAGATCTAAACTCTTCTAACACAATGGGAAAGCGTCTGCTATAATCACAAGATCCAGGGAGCAGGTCACTCACAAAAAATATCTCTCTATACCACTACTCACGCAACTTTACTAAACAATAAACTCCAATGAGACATTCTAGATTTGGCTGCTGGCAAGAACACAAATGAGAAATGCTTCAGTGGCTAGGAAATACGGGCTACCACTAACATGCCACATACTGCTTAAATAAACTAAAGCACAACTTCCATATGTAAATATATTTGTTTAGACATAATTTGGGGACAGTCTGTGTATTAATGTGAAATGAGATTAATATTGTTTCTACCATGGGAGGATAAAAGGTCTAAATACACTGTAAGAAAGGAATTTTTTGAAGAAACAGCCAAGGGGAAGGCGTGCCACAGTAGTGCCAGTGTGCTCCAGAAAAAGACAAGAGCAGTCCCAGAGAGAAACAGGCCACCCCCCTCGGACATAAACCAGCATACACACGTGGCTCCTTTCAACAGCTTCCTCCCCATTCAAGAACTGTGCACAAGCAGGAAGATGCAAGAACGGAGCTGATACCTAACACTGACCCCAAAGAAATCCCTGCTCAAACATAGCTAGAGTGTTGGGTTTTTTTAACACTCATTTTCTTCTTACTGAGCTGCATCACTGTCTTGTCACTAATTAGAGGCCAAAGAATGTAAGTATTCTGTGTTGGAAGGTAGCCTTGTCAGCTGGGATATTTCAAGCCCATACACTCTGGTGTACTCTGGTAGGGATCCCCATTAAAATCATTGAGCAAAAGCACGCACAAGCTTCTTAATTCAACATGTCATCCCTCTAAGGCCTGGGGACCTGACTTCAACAAGTATTCTAGAAACATCTTTTCAAGGCTGGAATAACCCAATACAACCAACTGCCATGTCCATAATAATGCTCTTTCCTGCTACCAACTTGCACCAATTCCTGCCATGTAGCAGCCTGTTTAATAGCCAGTACATGACAAGCATCAATAATCCTCTTTTGTTTTAAATACTGTTCATGGATATATTATTTTTCCATTGTACTTCTTTTTTTTTTCTCTTTGTTTCATCATTAGAACCCTGTTTCACTGGGTTCTGGATGTTTTTTATTTAAAACAGAAGTCCCTTTATTTATCAGCACTTTATTTATCGGTCCTCAAAGCGGTGAAAAAGTATAGTCACTGTCAATATTCCTAAATGAAACAAATAATGAACTGCTCCCTCTGCCACTAGGTAAGCAAAAAGTTAAGCACTTCTGAATGCTCCTAGCAATAAATGAAGTATTTCCTCTACAAAATCCTCATTTTCAATGTAGTTACAAAACCAGCAAATACAGTTCTTGAAGGACCAAACAGGACTGTTCACCTAATTACTCCTCTTCACTCAGCACTATCGAACATCATATTTTAGAGAGAATACAGAGAAAAGGAACAAATATAACAGATTTTAGGAAACATAATTCATGTGAAGGAACTTGGGTATTTCAATTTATTTTCTTAAACCCTCCCAGAAGGTAACTGACAGAAGGGTGGTAACAGCATTCACATCCGTCAAAGGCTGATTTGAGAAGGAAGCAAACCATTTTTCTCCATATCCACTGAAAATGAAGAGAAATGCTGCCACCATGACCTGCGTGGCCCTCCAGAGACAGGCATGAAACACACCAACGTACCTTCCCATTAAAGCAGTAGGAAACCTGCCATGGCAGGTTTTCTACAGACACATTTTGTTGAGTTTGCTCCAGATAAACTTTACGCTGCTGGATGTGAGGGGGGTGAGCAGCCAAACTGACCGGCACCACTTCCTTCCAGGCACACCTGGCTTCATGTTTGTGACCTACTGCAACACCTGGGGGAAAAAGATGTTACTTAGGGGAAGACCAGGATGTTTGCAGATCCTGGATCAAGCAAGAACTGATTTCTACAGGTCCCAGGATTTTTAAGGAGAAGGCCAGCACACAGTGCCAACACACTGCCGTCATTACTGCATGACTGCCACCAGCACAGAGGGTCAAAAACCACCAGTGCCCCCACTATCAGACCTCAAAGTGAAGGAGAATTTGGGGGTTCCACCTAGGAGCTCCACCCAGAAACTCACAGGGTGCCACCACTGCACTGTGGCTGCACAGGGCCACCACCTGCCATGTCTCAATTGTGTGCAAAGTCCTTCCCTCCATCTGCCTCCTCATGAGTTCCATGGCTCCTTTTGGACAAATGGTTGTGCTGGCTTGGTTTAAGAGAAGAGCTGTACAGTATTTCAGTCAAAAAAATTCCTCCATTTGAACTTCAAAGATACACTTACAAGTTTTGCATGCACAAATAATAAGGCATACCTTTTACAACTCAAAAACCAAGGCTAGCCTAAGTTCACGGGCAAATACATAGGACATTTGGATCTGGAACCATCACCAAAGCCTATAGCTAGTCCTAGGGCTTTGGAAACCATTCCACTCCAGAAAACAAATCAAAACAAAACCAAAATTAAATAACATAGAAGTATATGTAGGCCAGTGTGATTTCAAAATCTCTGAAATCAGTGCAGAGGTACCAAAGTACCATGAAGTATAAGATTTAAAAACATTTACAGTGCAACATTTAGAAACATGTTCATTTAGACCTCAGAAGGCAGATGATGGAAGAGATAACCAATATCTGACTTCATCTTCTATTGTGAATCCACTCCAGCATTCATTGGCACATGCATTTGTTAAAAAAATTACAGATACATGCTGCTTATTTTTCCTATTATTAAGGACACAACAACACTGATATTACTAAGCCATAGTCACAACCAGAAGTGAAACAGCATGCTGAGGGATGTCATTATTGGCAGCACCAAACCATCTGGAAAGTGGTGAAGTAACAGCATTTCTACTGTACTTGTAGACCAGAAGCATTATTGGAAAATTACTCCCTCATCCAGAGAGCTGAATTGTGGTTTAAAAAGAAATTATTGCAGAATAAACAAACAAACAAACAAAATAATCCAAGTTGGACTTCAGTGTGCATCACTGAGGGTAAAGCACTAAAAGAGCAAATCTGGTGATAAGCCCTGGCACTCTGTGTGAGATACTTATGTGCCAAAGAATAGCAACTAAAGCTGGTTTAAATATGTACCTACAAAAGCTCAGTGAGCTAACAAATAATGCTGATTTCAGCAAAAACACATATTTGATTAACAGAAATGGTGAGTGGAAAGATTACAACTTTCTAAATAGTCTGAACAGCATATACAGATAGTCACAGAGATAAAGTAAAAATTACTGTTTAGAATATCGGAAAACAAATTATTTAATAGTTCACATATTATGCTGTCTTTCTCAGAAGCCACATATGATCCACCTGATTATAACCTCAATGTCTGCAGCACGAACTCCCTTTTCATAACTACAACTTTACAGGTTTAGAAACCTAGAGAAAGCACATTACGAATCACTGTTGGTTCAAAGAAAAACAGTATTTACTTCCTCCGTCGCATCCCCCCTAGATATCACACTGCAGGCCAAGTTTCCAAACAGACTGATTTCTAAGGTAAACAGACATATTTGACATACATACATACATACAGGGATCCACACAAAGAGCCGGTACTTACAGCTAAAGATGCCTGGAGGTGGATGCTCTGTTACAAGCAGACAGTTCTCTTCATCACTGTTATCCCCACAGTCATTCTGTTGGTTACAAATCAATGAGCCAAGATACAAGCATTTACCACTGGCGCAGGTGAATTTGCACTCTGAAAAGCAAAAAAAAGAAACCAAAACAAAAATTTGTGAGGAAATTGATGCTTACCTTCTTCACTGCTAGAATGACTAATATTAAAGGCAACAGTTTTCACACAGATGCTATCGTGCTGGAAAGGTCTTTGTCACTTCAAAACCAAAATAAATAATACAGTATTTGTAACATCGCATGTATAAATATATGCATGACACATTCCAGATCACCGGAATCAATCCACTTGTAAATCAGATTTGCAATTTTGGAAGTTCAACTTCTTCAAAAAGAGATGGTATCTTTTTGTAGTTCATGTTGATTACAGTTCATTTCAGACAAAGACTTTGTTCTTATACATGTGTGTGTAGCACCTTGTGTATTTGGAGCAAGACAACATTATGAATAAAAATAGTAATTCTCCCACATTAAAAACAGTCTTGCACAACATAACCAGCATCCTCTGTAAGGCAACAGTATCGTTTGTATCCAGGAACAATCCTGTCCAGACACAGACAATTATTCCTTAACTACCTTACCAAAGCCAATTTGCCAGACTCCTAACTAATTATAATTAAACACTCAGTGTCTGCACATCAAACTCCCACATAACAGTTTGCTTTACAAAGTCAGTAAACTTTTAAAACCTCTGTAAAGTGTCTGAATGCTATATGCAGGCAGGTTGCATTTTTTACACTTTGTTCATTACAAAAAAATGAACTGTTTCCCCTAAATACTGTTTAATCATGAGAACAATTCCTATGATATATGTGACCAAGTATTCAACCAAAAACTTTGTTACCTCAAGTTCCTTCCTACTTTTCTCACTTTATCTGCAAAAGGATGCTGGCTGGCTAACTAATCCTGTGTAAGGTATCTCGCTAGACTGATCTCTAGCTCTCAAAAAAGAGTCAAGGTAAAACTCCCTATCTTGTCTCCCACTCCAAGTTCACACTGACAGGAGAGCTACCCAGTTACCCCTTCTGATAGGGATGACATGACTTCCATCCTTGGCCTTTTGTTTGCTGGTAAAGATTCTATAAGTGCTAACCACTGGTAGCTTTCTATGGGAATTATAGTCCAGAGCCCTGTCATCTTGGATGCTTTTTCTTTTAATTTTCAGAGCCCAGTGAGACAAGGCTTCAGTCTGACTGACTTGCTCTCTGTCTGAAGATGTAATACCTCAATATTTAAATAAGGCACTATATACTAAAGATTACTCCTATGGTAGATGATTGATAATTAAAATTCCATTGCCCTTCTGCTAAATTGATCATTTAAACATCACTTCCAGAAACAAAGCTTTAGAGTAAGCATTTGAGATGTAATTAAGAAATGTTCACAAAAATGGACAAGCAATTATAAAGAGCTTTCTTACTAAGCTTGTTTCCAAGTTAAATACACTACACATATAGCATAGAGGACATATTATATCTAGACAAATTATAATTTAATGATTACACTTCCAGCACATTGACAAATTCTGGCGATTGCCATTCACATGGAGAGGCAAAGTAGACAGAAACACTTTCAACTAGATTATTAGAGAAGTGCCATTCCCTGAACCCTGGGCTTCCCTAAGGATACAAGTCTGGGTTAGCTGATTCTGCTCCAGCAAGAACATCTCTGGTCCTTCCCAGCAAAAAGATTGTGTTTGTTCATTTCAACAGTATCAGCAAGAGACTTTCCTCTCATCTTAACAGCACTTGGACTTAGACTGAACTGAGATGACAGGAGCTCTAATTCTAAAAAGCCCCTAAAACAGTTACTGAAGTGAAATCTTTGCCACACATACCTGGGCTGTAGCTCAAGTTGCACCAGGGGATGCTTAGACTAGACATAAGGAAGAACTTTTTCATGGGAAGTGTTGTCAGATATTGGAACCTGCTGCTCAGGGAGGTGCTCCTACCCCTGGATGTTTTCAAAAGTCATCTAGATGTGGCACTTGGGAATATGGCTTAGTGCTGGACTTGGTAAAGTAGGATTAATGGTTGGACTAGATGATCTTAAAGGTCTTTTCCTACCAATTTTATGGCTACTTCCTCCTTGTCTCAGATATGTGAACATTGTCAAGGTGCATAAAAAAAAATCAGGCCTTTTGTCCCCCGTTGATGTGCCCACACTGATTGAAAGGTTGCTCACAATACTACAGAATTTCTATGCTGATTTTTAAATGGAATGTGTTGTCAAAATAATTTTGCCTTTGATGTTCTGCCAAATCTCTTCGCCAAGAAAGAAGTCATCATGTGTAAGGCCCGGCTGGGATGGAGTTAACTTTCTTCCTAACAGTCCATGTGGTGCTGTGTTTTGGATTTGTGACCAAATTACTGTTGGTAACACACTAGTGTTACGGCTATTGCTGAGCATGTGCTTGCATAGCATTGAAGCTTCCTCTTTTTCTCACTCTGCTGCTCCCAGGCAGCAGGCAAGAGGTGGGCAAGAGGCCAGGACAGCTGACTACAACTAACCAAAGGGATCTTCCACACCATGTCTACTTGTGGGAGGTGGTGAGTAACTGCTTTTGCATGACTTCTTTCTCCACTTTATTTCCATCACTTCTTAAACTAGCTTTCTGCTGTTAGTCTTCCTATTCTCTCCCTTTCCTGTGGGGTGAGAAGGGGTGGTGAGTTAACAGCTGTGAGGGTGCTTAGCTGCTGGCCAGGATCAACCTGTAACACATGCATGGGCAAAAGGAACTTCTAAATCTAACTCATTTTAATATCCAATGAAGGACACAGAAGTGCAAAATGTACCCTGCATAATCATGTTCTGTTGAAGTCTGAAGAAAATAGTCAAAGGAAAAATGTATGAATGTTACATGTACATGCCATATGCACAAATTAATTAAACTGATTATTCAGTGAAAACACAGATACTTCTGAACATGGAACATACTTAGCATCAGGTATCTGCAGCTTGTACACAAAAACTCAGTACCTTTAAGCAGTCTCCACAGTAAATGGATTTAAACAGTGTGTGCTTTTACCAGAAACAGAAGAGAACCCTTCCCTGTAAGGCAAAGTGGATCAAAGTCAGGCTGAGGGAGATAGTCGAAAGCAAATCCTACAGTAGTTAAATAAACCTTCAGAGATCTGCACCAAAATACTAGGAGTGACCTCAAAACATTCAAACGGGGAAATCCAGACCAGTCCAGACTAGACCACTGTGCCTAATGACATACCAGAGATCCCTTTCTGTACAAAGACTTGTACTTGGCCTGTCTAGACAAGAAGAGGGGGGGAAAGCTCCTGTTCTGAAAACAAGCCAGCAGGATCCTTCTTTCATGAATAATGTTTCAAAGCTAGATGTTTCCCTCTTCATTTTCAAGTGGCAATTAGTGAAATATCAGTAAGTTGGTCAGCAACTAGAGCTAAACCTGAAGCAAGATGACAGCTACTAGAGGTCAGCACTTCTTATAATTATGTCTTACTATGTTCGCAATTATGTCTGCAGCATAATTTTTAAATTTATCTTGCCAACATACTGATTGTTCAACATGAAGTTTTAATAAACATACTTCCATGTGGAACTAGACTACCTTGACAATAAAAAGAAATACTGAGAATACTGCTATGAATGTTCCCTGTTTTTATAAACTTTGTGCAAGTAGTATAAATAGGTATATTGCTTACATGTTCAAAGTTGATACTAATATGTATAAACTCTCTACATACAAATACCCATAAACACAAATGCAGTTCAAATCATTAATTGAAGGGTTTGTTCCAGCTGCAAGAGCAAAAGATGGATTTGCTTCAAGATACCAAAAAACCACCCTGGTTAGAGGGCTTTTTATTGTAAAAAGCAAAATCTGCTGTATTGGGTAGGCTTATTTTACACTTTCTGTGCCTACTCAACAAGATAACGTTATCCTTGCATTCAGCTTAATTCTTTTAGACTTCATTTACACTTGACTTCATCCATATGAACAGCATTCCCATTGTTTTGTCATCTCACTTACTGTAGGGCATTTTTAATTATAGCTAAGTGCTGTTTGTTTTTGTAATATAAGTCTAACCACAGGCCAAGGAAAAAAAAAAGTGACAAAGTGTCATATTGAAAAAATATGGGGGCTTAAGGCCACTGTTATGATGCATGTCACAGCCATTTATTTAACAGGTCTAAGATGATTATCTGACCCAGAGGCAGAATTCTATTCCATCCATTTGAATAAAAAATCAAAAACTATATACGCAGCCAGTGATCTCAAACTGTTGCGACTAAACTGTAGCAACACAGTCCAAATGCACAAAATGAAATCCTAAGTGACGTCTGGGACATAACCGGAGTGTAAAGGCACACTCCCAAAATCCAGCAAACTGGTAGCAGCTCTGGCAGCACAGCCAGCAGAGGGTGATCCTGCTGGTGTTATGTGTGGATCTAGACCTACAGAATAAAGGCCTAATTTCTTACATAAAGACTCCATTTTAAGTATGCCATCATACTTCTTCATAGTCCTGTTCATATTGCAACACATAACAACCTGAAAGAAAATATGCTTAAATGGCATCATCACCTCTTGTAAGGGTAACAAGAGGCAGAAATAGTAAATTGAGGAGGGTGGAAGAAAGCACACTTCACTAGAGATTAAAGAAAAATAAACCACAAATACCAATGTCAGTATAATAAAACCCTGTCCAATCTCTGATAAACATTTGTCTGTGTATAATTTTTTATATTGTAGATTGCAGCTTTATAATGGGAAGTAAATCATAAATAGGAGGCAGTATACACAAGGAACATGTTTATTTGGGAAAAAGCTTGGTTAATAAGGAAGATGGCAAGCTGCCATGCAATCTAATAAACCTCCACTGGTGCAGGGAGGGGAGGGATAAATAGGTCTTTACAAAACAAAAAAAAAAACACTTCACAAAAAGAATGCCAAGCAGAATACCAGCAAAAACGAAAGCAGATCAGTTTATGGAGAGTAAGAAGCAGAGAGTAAGCCACAGTCAAAGACCTGTCCTTGCTGCCTACAGCCTTGTGCAGGATGGGAGTCTGTTCTTGGAACCACCCAACCTGGAGACCAAGAGACTTCCTTTGCCCAGGGCAGATTACAGCCTTAAAACCAGG